CTCCAAAAGGGCCACACAACCTAATCTTTCCAATACTTTCAAATAGCACCACTCCCTGATGACTAAGTGTTCAAATAAATCAGTCTGTGGGGGATCACTTTTGATATTCAAACCACCACAGGTACAGAAGACATATTCCTTCCATAGTGGAAGGAAGCAGGGAGATAGGCATGGGAGGTGTTCTGATAGAGCATAACTTGAGCACCAAAAGGAATGAGAATTCAGGAGTGACTGGAGAAAGCAGCAAAAATTAAAATATGTTTAAACTGGAAAGAGCATGTTAACTGTGGGGTGAAGGAAGACTTAAATGTTCCGCAGTCACCCATGCACCTTCATGTATACCATCTGTGAAGGGAAGGCATGATTTGCTGATATTAAGATGTATGTCTTTTGTGTATACATGGGTATGTCTGTTTAACAAAAACATAATGTTTTGGGATTGGACTTTTAAATTATTTAGAGTCTCTATCAGTTTCCTCAGGTTTCCACCCTCCTTGAGGCGATGTATCATATCAGGTGGATCTTACTCACACATGCAATGGAGTCAATACCATAGGAGGAGACTCTGAAATCATGAATCTTGGAAATTATGGTGTTTGATATATTTGTTTCTCTTCAAATGACTGGGGTAAGGGATGAGCAAGTATTTAATAAACATAGACAATTCTAGTTTATGGAAGGAGATGTATTAAAGGGCACCATGTGTATTATTTGTGGAAAGCAGATAAATACCTTCTGAGAACAGAGCTATAAATCTGCCTTTAGTCTCTGTCCTTGACTTCCATGACTTGTCAATCATTTGGACGTCTTTAATCCGGATGCTAGAATTCCTTCCTCTGAAAACAATAATAATAATATATGACAACATGACACTCAAGGAAAACAGTCTTATAGACTGCTATCTTAATTTAATTGGAGAAAGCCATCAGGGATTGTGTACTAGGGGGGAACTCTATGGCACTTTCACCCGACAACCTCAGTAGTTGTGGGCAGAAGTTCATATTTGGGTAACTGTACTGTTGCCATATTTGTTGTTGTTGGAGAGGGTGGTCCTGGAAAGATCAATTTATGCTTATTTCCTCTGAGAAGTTGTGTTAAGCTTTTGACCGTGACACACACCTGATAAAGACCCAGCTCTCTCATGAGGGGATACTTGCTGGCTCAATTACAAAGTTAAAAGATACATTTCATTCTCTATCTTGTGTTCATGAGACAATGAAAATAGTTTCCCACCACATCAGTTGGAATCACTCAGTTTACATGTGATTAATTTCATTGAACAGAACAAAGCCCTTGAAACCTAAGGTTATTTTTTTTTATTCCTAGTACCTACCAGACTGCCTTTCATACTGTAGTCACTCAGCAACTATGTTGAATACTGACCGAATAATCTGAGATGTATGAAAACAATCACTGTCCTCAGGAAAGCAGCAAAGAGTTCACAATCTAGTGGGGGAATTGACATTCTGCATAACACACATGTGCTGGAATTTCTAACAGTAGAAAATCATATGACATCCACCCAGCCCACACACTAGAATGTGAAATGTCAGTAAATCACAATCTGTCATTCTTGACTAATGAATCTGTCTATAAAATTTATAACATTTTTAAGATCTAAATTTTATTATAATTACTTCATATAAAATGGAATACAATTTAAGTAGTGGGTCTTGAAAAAGAAAACCATGAAATATTACTTTGGTCTGTATATAAGGTCTCACTTTTAGACAAATAGATCCTATCTAACAAATATGAAACATTTTCAAAAATTCCTCTGAAGATACTTCAGAATTCTTGCAGCTCCCTCATTTTCATCACTTGACATCTCCTCTGTTAAAATGTCCTGAAAGGTGACACCTGAGATGGAAGACACAGTCTCATTCACTACAACCTGTTCCTAAGTCATTCAAACCGATTTTAGAAAACTACATCCCACTAACACATTGATTTATTTTAAACCTTTAGACTGTTTTCATAGTACAACCAGTAGTTCTTTTGCAGGGAGAAGGGGAGGAATACGTATTCTTTACAAAGGTCAGGGTAGAAATTTAAATTTCTATGAAATATGTAAATAATTCTCATTCTTAGGGAATATTTGATTGTAAAAAGTATCTATATGTATAGAATATGAATTTACAGTGTAAGAAGCTAAAACTCATAAGGAAGGAAACCACCAGGTGTGAGATTGAGTTACCTTTCCTGAGTAGAAGTAGATTCACAGAGACCAAAGATATATAAATTATCAGGAAAAGGATAGAAATAACTGAAATCGATAAAGTGGAGCACAGAGGCAGAGAAGAAACGGGAGACATGGAACCAGGAGAAAATATTGATTTGTTTTTAGTAGAAACGAGAAGCAGACTTCTCTAGCTAGTTTCTTAGCTAGAGAACGGGGGAAAGTATATTAGAAGAGGCAATGACCACTGTTCATGCCTGTCCCATTTCACGTCTGGAGCAGGGAAAACAAAATGAGGAGAAATAGTGCCGGGGCAGCAAGCCAGAACCGCGAGAGACCACAGAGGATGGGTAGCGTGCTGTGGGAGCCGGCTTGGCTCCGATCTGCCAATTCTGGTATTGTGAACCTAGAGAAGAATAGTGGTCCAAATAGCAAAAATGAATTCATATGTCCAGAGCAGTCTTCAAAATGAGAGGAAAGAGGAATGGCTTTTCTCTTTCCGAGGAAGCCAACTTACAAATGACCGCCTAGTAGAATCACAACACAATGTTCCTAGTGGGTGATTTGAGCAAGAGCTAATAGTAGATACTTAAATATCTTTTAAAAAGACATTTTTAGTACATTTCAGTGATCTAGAATTAGATAAACTGTTCTCTAGTTACTGTGAAATTATATTAGGAAACAACACAATGATAATTCAGAATTTCAGAATTTAGAAAGGAGATGTTGTAGAAGGTGTGGAGGGTAGATTAGATGGTATCATGGTTTTAGGTGGGAGCCCAACCGAGGAAGCTCTTATGGTTCCAGATAGCATGGTAAGGGCCTGTAGCAGGCAATATAAACTGGAAAGGGTGGGCAATGTTTAATGAATTATTGAATATGGGAAGGGATTGAAAGGGGAGTGATTTGAAATGCTTTCCCATGTAGACATTACTGTTGTTAATCAGAGAGGGCCATGTGGTTGAGGCAAAGATATTTGGTTACTCAAAATTGGAACTCAAGAATTGTGTAGGCAAGGTAAACAAAACAAAACAAAACCTATGAGCCAAACACACCTAGATGATAAATGTAGCCACAATAGTTGGAACAAACCATTGAAGTGGAGGGTTTGAAAGTCGTCAAGGAGAGAAAGAATGGGGGAGGATAACCAATGACTAAAGGTACTCAAGAGGAAACAGGGTCCTGAAAGCGACTGGTGAAAAGAAATCAGAATGAAGGACATTGACTGGGTAGGGGACTGACTTCAGGTAGCTTAATATTTGATTCCAGCTACTCCTGAGGGGAGCAGGGCAATTTTATTGTCCATTCTCATGTCCTATGTACCTTCTACCCAATTTTATTTTATATTCCCAAATGGTCCTCACTACACCTCCATTTTCATTTCTAGCATCCTCTTTTTTGCAACTATTTCAATCAGATGATTCATAATTCATGTTATAAACTGAAAGCATAAAGTCTTATAACATTGCTTTAAAGGGAAGATTTTAAATAAAGAGACGTTTACAAACTCAAAGTATTATGATCTGGCTGAAGTGACAGGGAAGCCCATTGCTAATTTCAAACCTTTGCAAATTTACGTGTTTTAATTGCCATCAGCTTCTTGTGTAATCTTTACTGAAATTTGGGGATACAACTGTTTGTGTTTTGTAGTTTGGAAGCAGTCCTACTTACATGATTGAGTACACAAATGTAATATACATACAGAGAGCTTAGATCAGTCCCATGCAGACTCTGGTTCTCAGTTCAGTCTCTGTGAGCCCCTATGAGCCCAAGTTAATTGATAATGTGCCCTTGAACCTGTTGTTGCCACCAACTCTTTTACAGGCCTTTGGGACTCTCCTTCTCATCCTGGGTCACCTTGCCCAGTCTTAATCCATGGGGAGATGCTTAGTCTTACTGCAGCTTGATAGGCCATGTTTTGTTGATATCCATGGGAGGACTGCCCTTTCCTGAGCAGAAACTAACAGGGGTGGATTGGGAAGTAAGAACAGAGGGGAATGTGGGAAGAGGGACTGGGAGGAAAAGAGGAAGGGGAAACCGCCTCCAGGATGTAAAATAAATAAACAAACAAACAGATTTATTTTTAAAAAGATGCTTCTTCAGTGGACTTTCACTTTAGAACTTACAGAGCTTATGCCCAGCAGTTCTCACAGTATCGGTCAATTCTAACTACGCAGTATTCCTAGAACCCTGTGTTTTCAGCGCCTGCTCAAATGTGCTACTCTGCGTCATACTAAACTGTGTAGTTCAGTTCAGTGTGCTCCATTCTGTGTTGACTCGAAGACTCCAGCTGGGTTGCAGCTTCTCTAAGGAGCAGGCTTTATGCTTGGGGCTTTTAGCTTATTCAGTGGGGAGATAAAAAGTGATGGTGTGCTTACCTTTAGTCTAACTCTATTAAATGAGGAGACTTTGTTTTCACTAACGACTTGCTAACTTATTTTAAAACAGCAGAGCTCCCCACATAAACTAATCTTTATGATAGGAAAGATAATGATGGTGACATGCACAGACGTCCTTTGTATTCACAGGAATGTGCTATGTTGTTGTGGGCGTTTTTCTGAGACGTCCTTTTTGATGTACGCTTTTCATTTATGGATTTCTTTTCAGCCCCAAACTTTAGTAATTACAAAAGATCAGAGTCAGATGAGTGTAAGGAAAAACTATTCAAATGTGATTTATCAGTAACTTTGTGTTGGCAATTTTTAAAAGAATACAGTATCACTTATTTAAAAAGCCTGTAATTTGTAGTTAAATTTGAGAAGTACATTTAGAACTTGGAAATTGTAGTAGTGTACAAAGTTTTTTTTTTTGTTAATTTCAGAAAAAATTAAACTGGGTAAAATAATGACTGACATTGAATCTGTGAGTAAGAAAATGGAGAAAGAAAAGCAGCTGTACTTCAAGAAATCCAGGTAATGTGGAATTATTTAACCTAGAAAACAAGGGAGAGAGAGAGAGACAGGGAACCAGAGATACAGCGAGAGAGGGAGGGAGAGAGGGAGAGAGACAGAGAGACAGAGACACAGAGAGAAATAGAGAGACAGAGACAAACAGAGAGAGAGAGAGGAGAGAGAGAGAAAGGAAAGAGATTTTCTTCTTTGCCAATATTCTCTCACCAACTGCAATGGTTTTTCATGCCCATTAACACCCCATGCACAAGGCTAATTTATCTTTCTACTCTAGTCCCAGAGCATATCAATTATCAAAATTTTAGTTTTCAGTTCAATTAACTTTTGAACTGGAGGATGTCTGAGTAGCTAAGCAAACCATCTGGGTTTTACAGTGCATAAGCTCAAATCCAATTTGTGTCTTTCTTGAGAAAAATGCCATATTTTATGATAATATTACATAAGTTTGGAATTTTAATAACTCCTTTGCAGCAATTATAGAGCAGAATAAGTTATAATTTTCCCTTTAAAATCTAATAATTAAAGGTTAGTCTTTCTCTAACAGAAGGTAAGGATGATTCCACAGAACATGGTTGGAATGCAGGGACTTGGAACATTGCTTCTGCTCTCCAAAGTATCTGGAGATGAGTCAGCTATTTTTCTGGATTAGTCTATATCTTCCAGATGATTTTACAAGGGTGTGCATGAGGGTTGGCCCTAAGGCTTTAGAGAAAACCTCCAACAGCCCCTAAACACATATTTTTGAGAACTTGTAGAATGTAAATACTCCTCTGTTAAAACAACTTTTGATGTCTTATTTTATAGGGGTTCATTGACACAATGTGTTAAGAAAAATTCAGTAATCGACACAATGTAAAAGTAATAGAAATTGGAGGAGATACTATTTTGCTTTAAAGAGTATCTTGGCTTCCAAAATTTGTGTCACAAATTAAGCTTAGCACTGGAAGATCCTTGTCCAGTGTAACAATTTTCTTTGATTAAATTTATTACAAGTCTCAGATTTGAACAAGTGGAAAGTGTGCACAATTCCAGGGCAACATGTTTGGTTTTATTCATGATAGGGGAAGAAATTATTAAATTGAAACATTAGTTAAATTTTCCCCCTTACTATCTTTACCCAATTTAACTTAAGATCCAGGCTAGCTTAACTAGGTCATGGCTGTGAAAAGACTACTTATAAAGCAGTTAAGCAGTTTAGATTATCCAGCGAGCTTTTAATAACTAGAAAAGATAACATTTAACAATACTTCTTTATTTATATGAAGCCTGTAATCCAAAGAACACTAATTGTGATTTAGGGACAAGTAGGGCACCCGTTAATGATAAATCTGGGCAGGAATAATGTCTTTCATTATGTTGTGTCTCTCAGTAGGGTTAACTGCTTCTCAGGGAATTGTTTCTCCTACAACTGATGGAAGATAAAGGTCTCCTAACACCTTTAGTTCCCATTTTTAATGAAAACATGTCCCGTTTAATGAGGAAGATCAAGCCTGTTTGAAATTAAGAGCAGGTATATGTACTTCAATGACAGCCTAGGGCACATAAAGCCTGAACTTCAATCCACTCGGGCTGCCTTGTCTTTATTTATAGCTAGTTTATGCTGGTAACTTGTCCCTGCCTTAGCAGTTAGCCTCATCTCATTAATGTTGGAGTGTAATGGGAACACAGAGGGAAAGGCAAGTAAGCATTGGGGATGTGGAGGTTCAGGTTCTTTGAAAACCTGTGTTTTAGTAGATTTAAAACAAAGGCATGAAGAGCCGGGCGGTGGTGTTGCACGCCTTTAATCCCAGCACTTGGGAGGCAGAGGCAGGCTGATCTCTGTGAGTTTGAGGCCATCCTGGTCTACCAGAGCTAGTTCCAAGACAGGCTCCAAAGTCACAGAGAAACCCTGCCTTGAAAACCAAAAAAAAAAAAAAAAAAAAAAAACCAACAACAAAAAAAACAAAAACAAAAAAATAACCAAAAAAAACAAAAAACAAAAAAAGCATCAGGTAGAGTTTTTTTTAATTTTAATTTTTAATTGAAATATGGTTCCCCATATAGTACAGAGAAAGAGGCTGTAGGCAGCCGAAAGGAGACAGTAGAATCAGCCAGTCAGTCAGGTAGAGGATTGCCAGCAGGCTTTCTCACAAGAGCCTGGGAGGGCTTCTGTCCGGGAGGCTTATGGAGAGCTTTTTTTCTGTCCTGTATTTTCTATCAAGGTTCCTTTGGAATCACTTATGGTTAAGGTGACACACAACATTTTTAGGTATACTATAAAAATATTGATTGAAGAAAAGAAAATAAATTGGCTACAAAACAAGAAATGTGAAACAATGTCCTAAATGTATGGTGTTTATCTTTGTCCACGCTTTCCTATTTTTGCATGCAAAGAGCAAAATAAAATGGAATGCTTCCATGTTTTCACATTTAAGCTTAAGAACGTGAAGTTCTTTACTGTATCTTCAAATTTAAATTAAAGGTTATCAGGCATAAGAATCCTGGTCCTAGGAGAGTAATGTGGATACCGTCTAAATGTTACTTTCCAATTCCAAAAAATTCACTTACCTGCCTATTTATTAGTGCTGATTTTTTTGTTGTTGTTAGTAATAGTTAGATGCATTTGAAGGAATGACTGCTGCATTTCTGTCAACACACTCCTGTAATTCAGGCAAGTGAGCGTGGTCTTAGTCCTCTAGTTTTTCATCGCTGTGCTTATTATGTTGTATTTGAAAACCTATGTTTAGGTCTTCTGATCACCCCTTTAACAGAACAAAGTTTTATCTCACCTCGAGAGTGCTAGGATATTGTCAAGCATTCCACTGTGTTGAAACATCTCAGAATTTTTACTTAATGGTTTTCAAATGTTTTGCTGAAAGGGCTCAATTGTCAATTTTTGTTACAGTTTTTCATTAGTAGGAGATTATTGAAAAAATATTTGTCCTAATTTTAAGATTAAGAAATACTTAGCCATGGTCCAAATACAAGAAAGTAAACTGTCCAATAAGCGCATTTTGCCTCAACTTTAGTAGGATATAAATGAATCCTAGAATTTCAAATGGAATCACCCCAATTCTTGACCAAATCAATGGATATATTTCAAATGCATGATGGAGATATGTGTTTATAACAACTTCTAACTTATTTACTCTTCATTGAGTGCCTATCTAATATCAACCTGTGATTAGAATGGTTGTAGCCTCTTCTCCCATTGATGCTAATGTTTTACTTAGGAAAACATTTTAATTAGTAAAAGCCATGTAACACTTACATAACACCCAGACAGCAATGCCATCTCTAGGCACTTACACCAAGCAGGTGATTAAACAGCAGCACAAATGAGAAGGCTCAAAGGTCTGAGAGCTTTTTTAAAAACAGTAAAATATGTGAGCAGCCCAAATATCCATTAGAAGACTGATAAAATATTGGTATATTTAATCCATACATTATTAAAAATGACAGTTCAATATAACAACATGCATGTATATATGTTAATGAAGATTTTCATAATATAAAAGTGAAAAAAACTATTTAGAAAGTTCATTTGTACATACATACCCAAGCATTGAAAAGGTATAGAATATATTATATAGCTAATCTTGTCAAATGAGGTTAGAATAAAGTAGTGTAATATAATTACTGAAGCTCCACTGCCTGACCTCAAATCACGGCTCCACCTATTTCTTGTTGGGACATTCTGACCTACATAACCCCTATGCATCTTAGTTCCCTCATGCATAAAATGGGTACACTAATAGTAAATCCAGTAGCAGATACTGCTGGGAGGGTGAAATCAGGCAAGACATACAGAAGACTCTGAATTTATACTATGAGAAAGTTTAGGTTTGCAAAAATTAGCAAAATATCCGAATGATGGGATTAGAGAACATTTTTCTTTTCATTTGGTGATTTATATATTCTAAACTGTTTATATGGCCCTTGACTCTTGGTCCAACAGATGAGCTTAAATCTCTATAAGCAACATTTGGAAAATGATATTATTTAAGATCTCTTGTGAAACAATGGAAAGTAAATACAATGCTTACTTTCCTGATTTTTGTTAGGTGGGGTTTGCTCAGAAAGGAGATGTTCCTCCTTTTGTGTCCACGTTTAAGAACCAGCAAATTTAGTATTATTCTTTCAGTAGTAGTCACTCTGCAGTACCTCCAGGATGCCACAGGTCTAGTCCTGTTGTCAGGAGTATCTCAGGTTAGCATTTAATCCTGTTTATTAGGCTTGGGGGCTCAATTACAAAACAGGGGAGACCGATTCACTCACGTTGTAACTCTGTGTTTTGGAAACAGAATGTTGGAACCCTTCCATTCCTATCTTGGCTTGCCTTTACAAAGTATGACCTCCTCTGTGGGACTTCTGAGAGAACTTGGTGAGTTTCACTAGGCTAATGCTAGGCACAGTAGTGGTTTTCATGATGTAAAGCAAAAGTTAGTATTGAACAAAGTCATTTGTTTATTATTTCATTTTAAAAACTATATCAAAATATAAAAGATTTGGGGGACAACTACTGAGAATTTCTGTTACTTTATTTAAACTTGAGAAGTTGGATCTTTTAAAAATGTGTGTAAATATAGAATGTTGTGGGAAATTATGAAAATGAATTCTTAGAATTTAAAGGGGTTTTTCAGTAATAATCATCCTAAGTTACTTATTCAAAATATATAAAATTTCTTCAAAAGAAGATACATATGTATTTTAAAGTCCCTTAAGTACAATCAGAAAGTTTGGAATTTAGAGACTATCTTGGAGATCCAGGAGGGATGTTGACCTAAGAAAACTATGTTGTAGTTTTCCTTTTTTGTAACTTGTTACTCATATTCTTTTTTTTCATTTTTTAAATTTAAATCAGAAACAAGCTTGCTTCACATGTCAATCCCAGCTCCCTCTTCCTCCCCTCCTTCCCTACCTCCCAGCCCCCCAAGTCCCCAATCCCCCACCCAATCCCAACTCCACTCTCCAGGGAGGGTGAGGCCCTTCATGGGGAATCCCCAAAGTCTGTCATATCCAATGTGTCCAGGCTGAGAGAACATCCCACCATGTGGAATAAGCTCCCAAAGTCCATTTGGATGCCAGGGATCTATTGCCCGAGGCCCCAAAGAATGCTGAGGCCTCCTCACTGATACCCACATTCAGGGGATCTGAATCAATCCCATGCTGGCCTTTTAGCTGTCAGTCTGGTGTCCATGAGCTGTTAGTCATATTCTTAACCTTCAGGCTGTTATGTTTTTCTTCTACTTATACAAAGACTATCTAGACAAAGGCTTAGCCATTGTCTGTTTAGCGTTGCACAAAAGATGGAAGACCTTTATAAATGTTTGCTGAGGGGCCTGGCGTTAGTGACACATGACTTTAATCCCAGCACTCGGGAGGCAGAGGCAGGCAGATCTCTGTGAGTTCGAGGCCAGACTGATCTACAGAGCGAGTTCCAGGACAGCCTCCAAAACAATACAGAGAAGCCCTGTCTCGAAAAACAAACAAACAAACAAAATGTTTGCTGAGGGACTGCCAGCCACAGATTATTGTGACACTGAATGGAAAAGAGCAGAATTGCAGCCACCACGTAATACTTTCAAGACTTGTTAAAAATTGCTCCAGTACAAAAATATTAAGATACCTAAATTTGTACCTAAAGGAACCACAGCTTCATGCCAGCAAAAGACCCTTCCACAGCCCTGCCATGAAATTATTTGCCTTAATACAATTTGGGGGACTAAAATACTTGATACTATTTTTAAATATTTTTTTTAAATATAATGACTGTTAGTGGACTGAAGTGATGGTATCATTAAGTTAACTAAAATGTGTTGGCAGTTTTATGCCTTACAACCAAACCCTCAGTAGATTATCCATGTTATCCCAGAGATCTCAACACTCATCTCACAGCATTCAGAACCAGAAAGCTGCATGTTCTGAAAGCATTAAAAATTGTAATAAATCCATAATTTCTGAATGTTATAGGTTTTCAGTTCCTTCCTCCTTTAAAATGAAATGTATCTCCAATATGGGCAGATATGTAACCAATGTTTCATCTTGTGAAGTTTTGTTGAATTTTCTTTTGTTTTTAGCTAAACCATTATTTTAATTGAAATAAAAAATTCTAAAACAACAAGCAGCTAAAACAGAAATGTCTAAAGGTTTGAAACCAGCAATTTATTTGTAAAATAAAATGCGAAAAATGTTAAATTTTGTTCTAAAATAATTTATATATACTCATAGCATTGCATCTTTTTTGAAAAACTAAATATTTTTTAGAATGACTTTTAAGTTCATTTTAATGATGTTTTCTAAAATATTTCTGACATGGGCATCTACTCCATTGTTATTTTAAGTCTGTTTGCTGAGACAGGTCTCCAGTTATCACAGGGAGCATTTACTGAAGTCGATTAAATAACAATGTCAAGTAGTCAAAGAATACAGGCATGCTTCCTCTGGAGTGCACAGCCATTTCCTATAATCTTAAACATTTCCAAAATACTAATAAATCATCATTTTCATTGTAGGAAAAAGGAAAGAAAACTAGATCATATGAATCAAGATTGATTCTGATTTCTATCCAGTTGATTGATATTTAAATGTATAATCTAGGGGGTTACAATGCCTTAAAGTCTCACTTTTTAAATTGGTGTAGCAGAGCACTTGGTAATGATGATATTGGGGTTCTGCTTCTTCTAGCTTCTAAGTGGAAGAAGCCTTACTGAATTACTGAATTACTTAGTTACTGATTCCTCATGGGAGATTCATAGAGGCTAATAATAACACCAAGCTGACAATGGTTAGTGCATGCTTGTGAGGTGTGTGACACAATCTGATGTTCACCAAAACTGAGCTGCAGTTACTAGTAACAGTTTCAAATGAATGAACTCAAAGGCACAGTAGGAGCAAACATCTGGTTTGCAAAGACCTGTCTCAACACCTACCCTACAAGAAGAGCCACCTTACAGTGTCACCCTCACAGTGTGAGCACTGTGGCCCTGAGACTCCTGTTTGGGCTATTGTCATGGTAGTCATCTTGCTCAAGACCTTCAATCTGCCCTTTTGCATTCCTACTTCAGTACTTTTGATAAGCCACTTCTAATTTGATATTCCAGCAAACACCCTTTCACCAGTGATTTCAAAGCTCTTTCTTTCCTTTCTGACTCAGAGAGTGGAACCATGGCATAAACTCTTATTTAGAAAGGTGTTCTGTAAATAAAAGAAAGTTTAAAACAAAATAGAAAGGCGTTCTTAACAGACCATTTCGAAAGAAACTCTGGAAGGAGGGAGTTGAACCAAAAAAACCCACATTGCCCTAAATAACAAATACTGTGACTTGATGATGATCCTTCAGCTCTGTGTGCTCTAAGTCTCTTATGTGTTGTCCTCAAGGAAAGGATGAAGTAGTTATTTAGGAAAGGAGTAGGTGGTTAGACAGTGTCTTTTATCTGTGTTTGGTTCTTAGTTTTTCTACACTGTTAACAGTAGAAGGACACTGATTTCCTCCAAATTCACAGTCTTGAGACCCTCAGGGAAAATAACTGAGTACAACTCTGATACAGCCTCTACCGGATGTGGGCTTGTAGTCACTGGTAAGTGCCAAAGCCTACTGTCAGGAACTCCATGTTTCTGGTGTGACATCACCATCACCTCCCCTATTCTGGAATCTGTTCCCTGTGCTGCCGGAAATCATATTAAATGACAAAAAAACCCTTTTATCATCTTAAAGTGTCCCCTACACACTTTAGGACTAACTGCAGACTGTCTTGAGAGCATTTATTCTGCAGCCCACTACTGTAGCGCTATTTCTCTCTCATCCTTAACACCTACATCTAGAGTTGGAGATGGAGGAGTGTCCCCTTGATCCTCATCACTGTTCCTTCCAGACCATTCCCTCCTCTTTTCTAAAATCCTCAGCTTTGGCTCTCGTGCCATCCAATGACATTCTCCATTAGCTTGTTTCTTGCAATAGTTACTGTTTTGTGCCATCTTCTCGTAGTCCCGGGACCCTTGTTAGTCTCTCTACTGCTTGTCATCATTCTCAGCTGCTTTGCTATCTAGGTAAATAAAATCTCTAATTCACCAGCTTCTCAATTCTTTTAGCTCTTTTCCTCTAGGGATTTTGCTTTCCATCCATCACCCCATATGTGTTCTTTCATGTTATCGTATAGGGAGCTAGATAGCACCTCCAGTATTCTACTTTGAAGAATGCTACTGATAATGCATGGCACCTCATAAAGTTCAACAACTCTTAAAAATTAGTTCCATGAGGAGTTTTGGTATTTAAAAAGATCAAGTTTTTAATTTCTTCTCTGTCTATACTTACTTCACCAGTAATCATACCCAGCTCATAATTTCATGCCCCCAGACTCCAGCTTATGTATTTTGTAAATCAGTTGTACCATTTATTATATCTTTGTAACCCAATTAGGGGATGTAATATAATTTATTAGAATAATTTTTACACACATGGAGCTCAAATATTTCCTTTCATTCTGAATGGAAAATACTGTTGCAAAGAATATAGCTTTCAAGGTTTTTATTTGTTTCTTTCTTTTTCTGAGAAAGTGGACACCACCTAAGGACTAAAAGCCCTGGTTAAATATTAAAGGATAACACAAAAGTATGTTAATAAACACAAGAAAGCCAGATTACACAGGGGTCTCATGCCCTTGAGAGGCTCTTGTTTTCATGGCTCACACTTCTTCCTGTTTGTCTAGAACTTCTGCTTACAAACTATGCCCAACCACACCTTTCCCATTCTTTCTCTATTTTTATGTATATGTTTGTAGGTTCTCACCTCTGTATGTTTGTATGTGCATATGTGTGATGCTTTCTAGATATGAATATGTATGGTATGATTGTCTTATCAATATGATGGAATTCTCTTCCAGTGAGATGAATGACATTTTTGTTAGGACAGTCAATAAAGAATACCTCATGATGAGTTATGTTGGCAGCAAAGGTAATTTCAAATAGTCAAGCTCTTTCATTATATTATGTTTATATTGCATTCAGATAAGTAACAATTTGCATATTTCATTTTTATAATACATACATACAGCCTTATTAAGAACACTCAGAGAAAAACATTCTCCTGTTAATGTTCTGCATTCTCTCTACCATGATTTCCAGCTTGTTTTTATTTCAAGATTTTGCTTCTTCATCTTTAAAAACCTGTAGCAACACAAGCTCATATGTTTCCTATAGTTAAGTCTACTATTATTTGATTAATTGCACAACATATCCATTTCATTTTCTCCAATGCTAATTACATTATCCCCCACCTACCCATATGTGCTGAAAGGCGTCCCTCATCTACCCCTTCTGAATGCCCATCTGGCGTGGTAGATGTCAGACAGGAGGAGTCACCTTCTTTGACTTGACTTTCCTGTA